GTAGATGCAACAGATTACCAATGGATTGTATATGGAGAGTGAAAGAAAGGAAGGAGCTCAGGATGATTCCAAGGTCAGTGTCTGCTTCTTGCCACATCACTTCTGTTGTGTGATAGATCGGTCTGTTCAGATTGATGATGGATGGTCTGCCTGACTAGAGTCTATGCTTCCAGGGGAAAAGTCAAGGAACAAACAGAAGGAAAGTTCAGGTGCACTTTTGCTCTTTAAGCTACCTGCCAAACTTTAAGCTACAAAGACGGAGACAGGAAAGCCAGAACTGAAAACACAAAAATAGATTCAAATATGCTGTATTCAAGTTTCTCCTTCTGCTGCATTTTTTTCTCTTCTACAAAACCAACCTCTGCTCACAGAGGTGTGTGTGGGTGCCCCCTTTGCATCTATATATCCCTTTCATCCCATCTAGGCTGTGTTGCTGATGCTCAGGTTGTTCTGTGTCATCCAGGAGCTAATCTGATTGCCAACCCAAGGCTTCCTTATTACAGGTTTGGTGGGAAAGATATAAAGAAATTTCCAGAGGTTGTTTTAATTAATCAACAGCAGGACAGAAGAAAAAAATTTTTCCATTGAGTGAACAGACCCTCCGAAAGTTATTTTGCAAGGCAGCTTGGAAACACTCTAATTGTTTTACATCAGTTAGAGTGATTGAGTCAAAGATTTAAATTCCTACTTGTTTTTCCAAATTTGTTCTTATTCACATTAGGCCCTTATGCTTTGATCTTTTCCTTCTGTACCTTCCTACCACCCCTTCAACACACACTGTCCCAGGGACATTCAGCTGGTATTCTTTGGCAAATTGTAGACTAAAGTAAACTGTATTAAAATTGCGCACTAGGTTTTGATGTAGGTGCCTCACAATTTTAACAGAATTTGCTATTTTGTGATTTTAAGTATACAAATATTGATAAAAATACAATTTAAGGTTTTCACTGAAACAAATTATATTCTTTAATGTTACCTTAAAACATGAAAAATACTCAAAAAATCTTGATTCTTTACCCCCAGGCACAAAGCTAGTGTTTTTTAGATCTCTCCCTCAGTGGTGGCACCAACCATTCTGCCTGTGTGGAATTGGTGACTAAAATAGTTGATTGAAGCAATCCCTTTACCACCTAGGTCTCTTGCACCTGAGGCTGCTAAGCATCAATTCAGTTTTGAATATCATTTTTTTATATTGAGTAATTTATGGGAAAAGGCCTGTCATTCACTTTCATAATAAAAACCCTTTCTGAGTCAATTCCTGAGCATTTACTGTGTCAATGGCCTTCTAAACCCCTGCTGTGCATTAATGCACTGAGCCTTCCCACAGCTGCGTGAGATGGGTGTTCTTATGATCCCCATCTTAAAATTCAGAGCCTGAGACACAGAAGAGTCAAAACTCTGAAAGTTAAAAATCAGGAAATTCTTTTGAGCTGACCCAAGTCCATTGTGTAGCTGAAGTGGCTCCCTGCCTGTACTCTGCCTTCCCTGGGGAAAGGGAAATAGCTGATCACCATTTATCCCTTTTTAAGATTTCGAATGTATCAGTGTTTAAATCACAGAAGGACAGCTCCATCACCTTGACCTTCTCATTTTCAGGGAGATATAAAGTGACACTTTTCCTAATTGGTTTTGGAACTGACTTTGGAAGACTCACTGAAACTTGAACCCCAATGCAACAATGCCCCCAAGATGCTTAAACTGTCAAATCAGGATGTTGCTAATTCTCTAATCCTACAAGTGTGGACTGAGAAAAGAGAAGATGTCAACGATTGTCCTAAAGCAACTCAAGACCACCTCACCCTTACCCCTGAGCTTCTCGTTAATTTAGTTTTCTTTTTCCTCTTATTTACAGATTTCTTCCAATGCCAGGGATTGTGATAAGCCCATTACACGCATTTTCTCACTTAAACTGTGCATTTGATTCATGAGCCAATGCCATCAGACTCCCTATTTAATGGAGCTTAGAGATGTTCAGGAACTTTCCAAAACTCACCCAGTAGAAAAAGTAAAAGAGGCAGGTTTCAAACTCAAGTCTACCTGCCTCTGCACATCCATTTAATCACAATATTGTGCTGTCCCTGACACACACCCCTTGCTTGGTGTTCTCCCCAGCTTGTGGCTTCAGGCTGAACCAGTCGTGAGGGTACCATGCCTTCTTACCCCAAGGGCTGCTTTGAGAATCACAGGTTCTGGGATGGTTTCTGCCCCAGAGACCTCATGCTCACTCTCATCCTATTAGCCTCTTCTTCACAGCTCTCAAAAGCTGCCCTGTGTAACCTCAGGGGAGTCTGTTGGTCTGGACCACCCCCCCCCACCCTCAAGGAGCACACTTGAGTGCTCAATTCTGAAGGTGGGCCTTCAACTGCTGCTTTTGTAGAAACTAACCTTTTCTTTTTTAGAGAATTTATTTGGGGTGACATTGGTTAATAAAATGTAGAGAAATTAATCCTTAAGGGAAAAAAAACCCTTTTAGGCTGTGGAACAGCCATTGTCAGCACTGAGACTGCAGAATGGTAATCAGGTCATGTTCACTGGGACACAGGTTGAATTAAAGCAGTTGCAGAAGGAGGAGGAGGCGCTTTGCCTCCTGGCAGGCCCCTAGGGTAAACCCACAGAGGGAACAAATAAGGCTGATCCCTCCCACCTTTCTATAATAGCATAAAAAACTGAGGTGCTGCTGCAATGGGAGAAGTGGTGAAACCATCTAGAAAACCCTCGATGACCTGTTAAAATGTTTAAGAACCTACAAAATGCCAATTCTACAGTCATTTTCTATTCTTTCCCCCCAATCCTCCTTTAGAGAATTTGGGGAAACCAACCAACGCATGACAGTGACCTTCACTGTGATGTTTTCTGGCAGAAGGATAGCCAACCCCCTCTGTACTTTTGGATCTTTTTAATAATCATTTTTCTCCGATATACATCGAAGCTCTGAAAAGTCTCTTGTAACCACAAGCAATATGCAAGTAACTGGTATCTGTCAAATTTTTTCTCTGCCGTGATTCATGACTTTGGGGCATTACTTGGATTGGGTTATTTCAGGTTTTATTTCCACAGGCTTATTTGTTTCCTCTTTTGAATGCTTTCTTGCTTCATTATTTTATATATAATTTTAAAACAGCAAGTATTGATCATCATTATTTCACTTTGCTGCTGAATGAGCCAAGTTTGAAGAGTGACCCTGAAAGTGCAGAGCAGTTTTATTCATAGAAGTCTCGTCTCCTAAAAAGTTTCAAAACTTTCTTTTTTCTCTTCCAGTCTCTCTGATAGATGGTTTGAGGCCTTCTCAAATTTTCTTCTACAGGAAATGCCCCTCCTCAGGCTTATATCAGGAAAGTGTCTGGCATCCATGCTTCCTGGTCAACCTCGAGACCATCACAGCCCCAGCCTACCTCCTCCATCCTTGAATTTCTTCCTTTTCTCTCCTTTTTCTTTCCTTCCTTGGTTCCCTTTTACCTCCTTCTTTTTCCAGTCCCCAGACTTTCTTTTGTTTCCCTTTTTCTTCCTAGAGTTTCCCTTGGAGATTAAACACCAACAGCTAAATTCAGAACATGTTCAGCGTGGTGGACCTAATGCCAACCTTCAGCATTCCTCAAGGATGAGCATCATGCCCATCACTCCTTCTTCCTCATTCCTCATGATGCCCAAGCCACCTGGAATGCTGTCCTTCCTACCTCCCTTGAGAGTGTGCCCTCCAGAGTACATTCATCACATCCTAGAGGCTGCCTTTGCAGTAGCAAGGCCCTGGGTTATGACTAGTGGAGCTTGTGAGCAGAAAGGACTCTGTCCTGGGTCACTTTCACCCTTATAAACAACCGATCTCACTCTCCTTCTCAGCTTTAGTCACTCCCAACCAGTCATAAAAGTCACCACGATGACCAGACCCCATGACTTCCACCCATGGCAGAGGTGGGGGGAATGGATGCCAATCTGCCATGCCCATCCTGGGAGCTACTCTCCAAGAGAAATATTTTGGGTTTGGTTTTGTTTAGTTTCTTTAGCTTTTGGTCTAACTAGGAAAGTGGAATGAAATCACCTATTAATACAGTGCTAGAGAACCCAACAACAAGTAAATACCTAGTAGGAAAATTGGAGGGGTTGTGGTATTTGCCGGGATAGGTCATACCTGAATCTAGGCAATAATCAGTTTAAAATAAGGCTTCTTTCTACCTTGAATGTTCTGGGAAAGTGGTGGGGGAGGGGGAATCAAGGATTAAAGAAGAAAAATGTATTATGGTTCATTAATCTCTACATTTTGCATGCTTTTTTCCTCTGCTTGTTGCATGTACTTATCCATTAATTAATGTCAATGATGAAAAAGAAATGAAGCATTATACTTGTGGTACAGCTGTTCAGAATGATTACTTTGAGAGTGGTGTGTTTTCCAGCATCTTTCTCTGAGCATCTCATCATCAACAGATACTACTCGCTGTGTCAGTTGACCATTCTTTGCCCTGAGTCCCCAAATGGAATCAGTTGTCTCCCTGATACTTTAATTGCAGCTGACTCAGCTAATTTGAAAAGCTTTGATGCATGCTCCTGACTTCTTTAGATACTGCAATGTTAATTGTGGTAAATATTTAAAACCCAAAGTCAAATCAAAGGGCCCATGGGCTTGGCTTTCCATTGTCAAAAGCCAGTTCTGGAATGAGCATTTAATTCCAGAGATGTGGCTATACCTCCAGAGAAGTTCTGTTTCTCAGCAGTAGTGGGAGTTTTAGTGGTGACTGGTACTTTCATTTATTTTGTAAGCAATTGAGAGGGTGGGGAGAGGTCCAGGTCAAACATTTCATCTGTGGTCTGGCAGCTTAAGACTGTCAAATAGAGAAGCAAGCTGAAGAATCCACAAAGCTAAGAAAGTGCCCTTTATGCAGAGCACAGGGTGTCTGGATTGGACAGAAAGGAGTGGTCGCTGCTATAATGCCACATAACTAAGGAAGCCAAGGGCCTCTATTTTCCTTCTCATCCTGTTTCCTTCCCACTACTTTCTCTTGCTTCAGGGAGGTTCAGAGAAAAGGCCTCAATTCTCCACAAGATCGCCAAGAAGAAATGTCAGGTGGATGAGAATGAGAGGCAGAACGGGGCTGCCAATCATGTGGGTGAGTCCAGGGAGACCTGATCCAATGCCTTTCCTGTGGTGCATGGAGGGGAATGAGAGCAGGACCCAGTCCGGGCACACCTGACTCAGTGCAGACAGAATCCTACTGCTTAGCCCTTTCCTGAGTGTCGGGAAGAGTCTACTTCCCTGGGTGCACACAGACCATGGACAGACACTGTGTCACCTGTCCTGAGGGAACTTCAAGAAGCGTAAAATGATTCTTTGAGGAACCTGAAATAAAACCAGCTTATAAACCAGACATCTCTCAAGGACTAGAAAATCATTTGACTTTCGGGATTCCACATAAAGAGGACACATACATCCCCATCATTTATTATTAAACAAAAGGTGAAATTCTTGCCCTGTAACCAAACTTTATACCTATGACATTGCATACAGCACACCCACTGGTTTACCAGCTGGTTCACTTAGTGACAGCTAAATTGAGTGGCAGGGTCCCTGCCAGATGACACAGCGTGCCCTTTCTCAAGAATTCAGCAATACTAGCTCAGGTCTTTTCTGGCTGACTTTTTCTGAGCTCCTATGTGACTAGATCAGGACATTCGAGCATCTTATTTTAACTTGGGACAAGATGTTCCTCCTCTCCTGTCTGTAACTATAATATAGCTCTCTGATTCTAAATGCAAACTAAATTTAACTTAATCTGGATCTATGCTATAAATGATGTCATTACCAAAGATACTAAAATTATCTGCAGGCAAAATTCAATAGTGTTCCATTCAAAATATATGCCACTCCTTAGGAGTGTTTTGGCTACTGCTATTACTCTGACTTCCAGCTCAGAGAAAACCTTTGGCTGAGCAACAGTTAAGATTCTATTGGCTATGAAAAAAAAACTGGAAGGACATACACTAATATTATTCATACATAATATGAATAATAGCTACTTCTTGGGGTTGGTATTATGAATTATATCTTTTATCCCTACTTGCTTATGCTTCTGTGAACTTGGACGCATTTTTTGGAATGAGCATATCTTGCTGTTGTATTATAAAAATGAAAAATGCACAGCCACACCACAGAAGTCTAATTGCATAGGCCGAGTTTTGCTTGTTATATTTGAGTTTGATTACACAAGCTATTTTGCTGCACCACTTGTTCATTTTTGTGGAATTCTTATGGAATGAGGCAGCTTGGAGTACAAGACTTAGATGCCCAGGTCAGTCCCAGGCCTCTTCCTAATGAGGCTTTCATTAACCCTTCATGAAGTGGTAGGACCCATAACTCCAAGGATGCTCCCTATGCAGGCTGGGACTCTGAAAGACTGTAACTAAAAAACAGTGTATGTCTAAAACACATGCTTTACAAAGTGAGTCCAAGATTTATCTTCACATGTTCTTTGGTGATGAGACCCCGGCCTGACATGTGAAAGCATGTCATAAGCTAAGACAGGCATACTTGGTTAGATATTATACCTGGGAGGTTGTTTCTTCTCATCTATTCATGTCTTTTCTTGAGCATCTTAACTCCATTTTGGTATCCATTAGCCTGCGTTGGTAAGGTCAAGTTTGGCCATTGCAGGCTATCCTAAAGCTGTATTACTTCAGCCCATAGACTCCCCCAAACAGAGTTTTCATATTTCCCTATACTTAGTACTTTTTAGTTTAAATAACTGAACCAAGCATGCTAGGAAAACTGACATAGCCACACACAGCAGAGCATCGCATACAGATCACTGTCACTACTAAAAACATGGAAAGATAAATTGGAGTTTCTATGGCTTTCCATATGCAAATATTTTATGCCTCTATATTTCACAATTAAATGTATAAATAAACAAGCATTTCCCTATGATTTCCAACATTTGGCAACTTCAAATCCAACAATTTCTGTGTAACTCTCAAATTATTTTGAGTAATGTTTTACTGTGGGGCCACTTTCCTTGCAAGTCCCCCCATGTGCCATGAATGAGAGTAAACATGACAGAGATATGATGTGATCTGCTTGGGGAGGAGAGGTGGCCAGTTTCCCAAAGGAAAAAGGCCTTGAGCAGTGGCCAGTTTCTCAGGGGAAAAAGGTGTTGAGCCCCTTCCTCCAAGGACCTTTATTGGGTTGTAATACACAGGAATACAGGGTAGCAAGGATCAAACAGTAGATAACATTGCAAAGAAATCTGAGGGCTTAGTCCGAGTCAGAGTCTGTCAAGAAGACTTTTAGGGTTTCCTGCTCAAACCCTTAACATATGAATGAAAGCACTCTTAGCAGAGCAGATTTCACAGGTTTATCAAGAAGTCTTTGTGATGCCAGATTTTTCTCTAGGACATGGCTCTAGCAAGGCAAGGAGCTGCACCCCTCCCCATCGGGTATTCAGGCTTAAGAGGATTAGAGCCAGGAAGTGCTTCTCCCAGGGAACATGGGGATTTGAGTTTTGTCAAAGCTGTGGCGGGGGGGCAGGGGTGAGAGTCCATTGCTCTTTGTTGCAGGTCCCCCCCCAATTCCTTCCACGAAGGCCTCCCAAGTGATCATGTCTGGCCTAGGTTGCCCCTCTCTGAGGGGTCGTTCCTGCCATGGACATCGACCATGCTTTGAGGGAAAAGAGGAAACTGAGTCAGCATTTGCTATCAGAGACAAGCTTTGTCTCCTGCGGTTCGCATTCCAAAGGTCCTCACTTGCCCTTAGCCACAGGGGGTCGAGTTACAATTCCTAGAACCAGGCAGAGCAGTCCACAACATTTTACCAGTGAGAGAAATTCTTAGTTCTTCTGGATTCGCTAAAAAAAGAAAACATTTTGATATGCCTGATAGTGCTCACGACCAATACTGATGAGCATTCTGATGCTCCTGGTGCCCCGACCCTGAACTACACAGCTTCACTGTCTTCTGAAGCCCAGACTTTACCCTGCACAGCCAGAGGGCCTGGGAAACCTTTTACTTCCCTCCCACTGAAGTTGTGGCAGACCTCTATGGTGCCTGAACACGAACCACCTGGAGCTATTCAAGAGAGCACCAGTGCTGAGTATGCTAAGCACGGGGAAGAATGGTACCAAACCCTTGCCATTTGGTGCAACCCCAGCTTTATCTCCCCTCAGAGACCACCATCTTCTCCCTCAGCCCAGTAGTTTAGGATATGCTTTCCAATACGGTTCTTACCCCCATTGACTCCATTCGCTTTCTTTGTCACAGAAAAAATCGAGCTCCCAAATAGCACCAGCACAGATGTTGAAATGACGCCATCCAGTGAAGCTTCGGAACCTGTACAGAACGGAAATCTCTCCCACAGCATTGAGGCTGTGGAAGCCCAGGTAGGGCTTCTTTTCATGGCTTCTCTGGGCTGCTGTTTTTTGATACCTAGTATAGTAGCATGGAGGTTACATTCTCCCTGGAAGCCCTGCTCCCAGTGGGGACGACACAGGCAGAGTTTTGTTTGTCCTTGTGTGTATTTCCCAGCACTAGCCCGGGCCCCACATGTATCACACTCTCCAGCCACTGAATAAATACGCATTCTCTAAACCACTGTTTCTCAGGGTGAGGTTGGAGGACTCATGCATCAAATCATAAAAATGCAAATCCCTGGGCCATACCTCAGACATGATGAAACAGCACCCTGGAATCCACATTTCTAAATTTGCCTCCCAGGTGATTCTTAAAGCCCGATCAAGTTTGTTGCTGCTGCAGTCTAATCCTTTCTGTCTATAAGGTCAGGATTAAGTAACAGAGAAACCACAGCCATCACACCTATTTGGCCTTCCCAGTCCCTACAGCTGAAATAGTTACAATACTTGACATTTACAAGTATTATGTACCACAGATTTGGTGCTAGGCACTTTATATGTGTTATTATCTTTAAACCTCACAGCCAAAACTATAGTTATTTAGTGTCTCCTTTTTATATTTGAGAAAGCTAAAGCTTAGCAAGATGCAGTAGTTAATCAGGATTACCAGCTTGTAAGTAGCAGAGCTGAGATCTGATCTCAGGACTGTCCGAATATAGCACCTACTCTGTTTCCACCACACAGCTCTGCCTCTACAACAGAGCTGCTCAGAGAAGAAGGTGGGGGGAAGAAAGAGCGAGTGGTACTTGTGAGATTTCTGGGTCTCATCCTGATGGGGTGAATCAGAACTTGTAAGACCTTGAGTCCCAAACTTGCATTTTAATCAGGCACCTGGGTCAGTGTTTCTCAAACTTTAATATGCCTATGAATTTCCTGGGAGATCATGTTAAAATTCAAATTTGTCAGGTTCAGAGTAGGGCCCAGAGTTTGCAATTCTAATGAGTTCCCTCGTGATTCCAATGCTGCTGGTCCAAGGACCCAGCGCCTGAGACCCACTTCTCGAGACAGAATTTTCCCAATGAGCTGAAAAGTTGTGCAGCGCCCACAAAGAGAAGCCCAGCTATAGTGCATCTGTCCTGCACTCTCCCCTCACATATACCAGGACCCACTCTGCAGCAGAGGGGGCCTGCAAGTCTCAGGGAAAAACGCTCATGGTTGCCCTTATCCTTAAAGGAACGTGCAAGGAAAGTTTCTTCACAAACAAGAAAAATAAAGGTGTTGAGCACCTTTCACACACCTATTGGTCATTTGTATTTCTTTGGAAAGATAACTAGGTTGTTTGTCCATTTTTTAAATTGGGAGCTCTCGCTCTTTTAATTTATTTTTTATTTTTATGTATTTATTTTTTGGCTGTTGAGTTGTAAGCGTTCCTTATGTATTTTGGATATTAACCCCTTAAAAATATGTACAGCTTGCAAATATTTTCTCCCATTGTTTAGGTTGCCTTTTCAATTTGTTGATCGTGTCCTTTGCTGTGCATTTCACAATGTATATACTTCTATCCCATCGTCACGTTATACACCTTAAGTACATAGGATTTCATTTGTCGATTACACCTCAGTAAAGCTGGAAAAATAAACGATTAAAGGAAAGGATAAGGAACGGCAGCTCTTCCTGCCCTTGTCTCTTCTGCCTTCTGGGCCCTCGCCCTCCTGCCCAGCGCCCTGCGGTCCCTGCGCATTTGCTCAGGGGTGAGCCGGCAGAGCGGCCTCTGTCCACATGGATAAGCAGCATGTGGCAGCAAGAGGCAGGCCCCCAGGACATCTGGTTGCCCTTGGGGATGGCGCAGCCATAGGTGTGTGGAGGGCAGCCTGGTTGCTGTGCCTCTCCATCTGGCTGGCAAAAGGATATCTGTGCCCCCCACAAGGGAGCACCTTGCTACAGGGGAGTGAGAGAGTTCCAACTGACCTCTCTCTGAGTGAAGCTCTGACTGCCAGGTCTCACACAGGGAAACAGGACAGATCCGTATACTACCCTGCTACACTAAGAGTGCAAGGACAAACAGACCTTGAAAGAGCCACCTGCCAGCTGGCTGCAGAACAACTTGGTAGTGAACTCCATATCCAACCAGGAAAAAGTTGCCTCACTTTAGTTTCCTCATCTGCAAAGTACTGGTAACAATAGTACCTGCCTCGTTAGGTTTCCTAGGACAGTTACATAAGATAATGTACATGCACAGAAGTAAGTGCTTCCACTTATATCATATCATATGTTCATACTGACCATACAAGTATCATTAAAGGTGTCCCTGCCCCAGAGGAACTCCATGTAGGGAAAATAAAAATGTATTTTATATATATAAACCCTTGGGGTGGTCAGGGTGTAATATATAAATAAGTAAACATTTGTGGTAGGTAAATCATTATGGTCTAATGTCTGTACAGAGTGCTCTGAGAGATAAGTATAGAATCTGCTTAGAAGAGGGGACATTTGAACTGGGTATTGATGGCAGAGTAGGAGTTTGTCTCTCAGAGAAGGAGGAGATAACCAAGATGACAATATGTGCAAAGGTATAAAACCATAAGAGGGTGATTCATGGTTAGTGATTGGCACCAGACTTGGAGACTGAAACATAAGGTAAGAAGTGAGGAGAGATCCACCAAGACAGGTAAATTGGGCTGAAATTCTCCAACTGTTCAATCAGAAAATTTTTAGTGTTCATCTGATTACTATGTGTCAGGGGATATGCTGGGCACTGGAGATGCTCACATGTTCTCACAGAGCACAGAGACTTCAACAAAAACCAAGATATAATTGTAGATGGCCGTAAGGGCCATAAAGAAAGTGTAGCTTGATAATGTGGTGAAGGACAGGTGAAGAAGCCCCTTGAGATTGGGAGCTGAGGGAAGGCTACACTAAAGAAGTGGTGTTTGGACTGCAACTGAATTCCAAGGAGCCAGCCAAGGGAACAGTGCCCACAGAGGCAGAAATGAGCTTGGCTTGTTTGAGGAACAGAAAAGTCAGTGTGGCCAGAATTGCGGAGCGAAGGGAGTGAGGATGGTGGCAACGAGGCTGCACAGGGGGGCCGAGCAGAACTGGCCCAGGCTGTAGACTATGATTAGGGAGTTGACTTCCTTCTAGGGCCACAACAAGCCATTGAGATTTCCAAATGTGATCTGCCCCTGTGAAAGATCCCTGGGGCTGCTGTGTGGGATTGGATTCAAGAACAAGAGGTTGTATAACTAGAGCAGAGCAGAGGTCATTGCAGGAGTTGAGCTGATGGTGGCACACACCAGAGCAGTAGATGTGTGGGGAGAAGCACATGGATTGTGAAGGGCACTGTAGGTACCACCAAGCAGTCTGAGCTTCCACTGTTGGGAGACAGGGCAGTGAGGTAAGAGCCTGTTGGTTCAAGGATTGACAAAGTATGGTCCATGGCCAAATCTGGCCTGCAGCCTGTTTCTGTACAACCCAGGAGACAAGAATGTTTTTACATCTTTAAAGGTTATTTTTAAAAAGCGGCAGCATATATGACAGAGACCATATGGATCAGAAAGCCTAAAATATTTACTATCTGGCCCTTTACAGAAAAAGTTTGCCCACCCCTAGTTTAGACCATCTGCATTCTTAAAAAAAAAAAGGGATGAGAATGCTATTCATATACTGGTATGGAATTATATATGCTGTTAAATGAAAAAGGCAGCGTGCCAACTTCCATTCGGTATTCTATGTTCGTGTGAGAAGGGGAAAAGGAGGGAAATAACATATGCATTTGCTTAGGATGCTACTGAAGAACTTAATCGGGCTGACTACCTCCAGGACAGGGGCCTGGGTGAGAGGAAGACTTCAGTATGCAGCCTTCTGCAGCTTCGGAATTTTGAACCACTTAACTATATCACCTATTCAAAAAATGTAACATCGAGTGAGCTAAGTTACAACAAGCAGTATGCTTGAGTGGCTTGAGAGCAGAGACTCTGGAGACAGACCACATGAATTCAAACTCCAGATCTGCTACTTTCCAGCTGTGTGACTTTAGACAAGTTACTTAGCCTCTCTGTTTCCTACTTTTTTTCTGTGGGAAACAGGGATAACAGCACCTACTTCATATTATCATTGTGAGAACAAATTGCTCTTAACAGTTCTTGGCACACAGTAAGCATCGCATCGGTGTTTGCTATTCTTAGAAGCACTTAGTAAAACTCATTTTAAATGGCTATCAAGGTCCAGATGACAAAGGCTATGGCATGGAGGGCAGCAGCTGGATTTAGGTCTAAGGCCAAAGAAGATTTGATGATAGATTGTCCCTAGAGAGTGAACAAGGAAAGGAAGTTGTAGATGATGCTGAGGTTTCTGGGCCAGGAAGGCTGGGTGACAGGATACATGAGGGCTGTGCCTCCAGAGTTAGAAAAGGGATGTGAAGTTGGAACAGTCAGGCCACCTGAAGCAGTTTCACAGAAATGATTCGATGCGTTTATATTGTGTTAGTTTTCTTTCTTTCCCAGTTGTGTTTTTATCAAGCTCCATGAACAATGGCGTGTATAGCCTGCCTTTATTCGTGGATGTGATGAGCCCCATATACCACACACCCATCACCAGGATTCTCCTGAGAGTCTAGTTTCCTGTAACTCATCTGCTGTTTTAGAAACCGTGTTTACAAGTGAACTAACTTTACATCGACACCTCATCTCTGATAGCTCTCTCCAGTATGGACTTTCCACTGGCAACGAGAGGATTTTAAAAATTCTCTCACAGAGGAAGCCCCTCTGCAGGAGTTTTTGCTTCGTCTGTATATTCTGTGGAACCAAGAAAATAATTTGACTTTTTAAGCGGCTTAGTGCTAATTATCTTCTCCCGACGCCTGCTGACACAGTATTGTTGGTTCTAACATAGAGGGAGCCGATTTCGGCGGCCACTGAGAATTCATCAACCTTCCAAATGTTCAGTGTTGGGAATTTATCCAGGTTTGAAAGACATTTCGAAGAAATATTCTCTCCCGCCCAGAACCCAGCACTTTTTTTACATTTCAATTC